TTTGAGTGCTTTGCAAGCTTTGATGATGACTTTCAGGGGTTGCTTCTCTTTATATCAGCATTATTTTTGGATCTTGAAATTGGTGGTAATTTTTATTCTTATTCTTTTATTAAAATTGTTTGTAATTGGATTGTGTGTGATTGAGATTTTGTAATGCCTGTTACGTAATGTTTTTTATTTTTGTGGTATGAATTAAAATTTGAGGACATCAGTTTAATCTTCTTTGTTCTTTTCTGCACATCTCATTCAAGATTTACATTTGTGAGTTTTAGATCATCCCTAAGCCATCCTACATATTGATGGTATCGTTTTAGAGGGGGTGTATTGATCCGATAAAGAGGGAGGGAGAGGTGCCTTTTCATTTATCAAAATATTTTCATTTATGAATAACAAAGTTAAGGCATTATCCTTTGTCCGTGCTGTTATTGTTAGTGGAACCCATGAAATTTAATGATGAAATCTACAGCATTGGGGAATTGTCATATTTTTTTTAATGATTCATAAAGGGGAATTGCACTTCATTGTTGACTTCCTAGTAATTTTTCCACTTTTAGATGATTGTTTTTCTAGCCAAAACCTTTAGTAGTCTAGTGGTACTTCATGTTGTCAGATGTCCTCCATGGAATATTTTTTAGAATGAACACTAAAAGTAAAATGAATTTAAGCAAGCCTCGGAAAGCTAGTTTTGAGCAACCAGAAGTTATATTGTCACAAACGTCTATATTCAACCATACATTTCTCATTTGCTTTAAGTTAAAGACGGTTAAAATAATGAAATGGAGTTTTTTGGTTGATGTGTAAATTTTATCACTTTTAATCATAACTCCCAAAAATTTAGCAATATCATTGGTATTCGGATAACCATACAGTGATGTTTAGTTTTCAGATGAAAAACACCAATCGTTTTACCTGGTAGCTCGTCATCAATAAATTTGAGTTCTTTTTAAAGGCTTCGCTAGAATTAGCTTCTATGCTATGCTTTGCATTATAGGCTGTCCTTTTTTAAATTATATATCATGGTCATGAATAATGAAATATAGATGTGTAGACTTTCAAACTGTTTGTCTGGATTATGAATGCCGTTCCTGCAAGGGCTATTTTTTCTTACTGCAAACTTCTAGAATTGAATATAAATGTAGTATCCCATTTTTTTCCTTGGGGCTTATCTGGGATGAAATTTATTTTTATATTTCTTTTGTTTTTAAAAAGATTTTTGTTTAATGTGTTTTTTATATAGTTATTTTTTTAAATTTCTAAAAATAAATTAATGCATATTCGAAAAATTTGACAAGTAGATTCCCATATTTTTTTAATGCCAGTTCATGGCTTTGATGAATTTGTCATCTTTCATTTGAGCAAATGATTAAAAATGTTTCTTAGATTTGTTTACATGTGGTCGATTAATTTTCAATTTTTCTGAGATCTCAATCTAATCCCTCAAATCACCAAACTTGAATAAATTCGATCCTATCATAAATTTTGTCGTTTCTTTTAGATAGAAATTTGTGAGGGATGCTTTTTATGAGGGAATTTTTTACTTTTCAGAGTAATGCACATTATTTTGAGCTAAATATTAAACATTGAAATTGATCCAAAGAAGAAAATTCTCTTATTGATTGCTTCCTTTCGCTAATTTTCATACAAAACAGTGACATCTGATTGTAGGATTAAATCAGTTCACATTTGAGCAGTTGGGATTAAATTGAACGTTTGAAAAAGCTGAAACTAAATGGACAGCAACAAGAACAAGCATTTTATCCCATTGAGTGCTTATTTTCATTTAATTCTAATAAATAAAGATAATTTTTTATACAACATGCCCAACTCTTTAGCTCTACCTCTACCTTTCATAAAATAAGTTGATTCTAAAACGTCTACTCTCTTAACTAGCTCATTAGATGGTCGAAATTTAATGCGACCAAAACATATAAGATAACTCTCTCTAATCTTGTTTGTCATTGGAGGTACACTAACTTTTTCATTGATATATTCATTTCATATTTTCTCTAACTGTAAGGTCATCCATCCACATAAGCTTTCTCATCTGCGGAACACTTAGGTCTTGTTTGGAATCACTTTCTGTTTTCTGTTTTTTGTTTTTGGTCTGGTCTTTTTGTTTTGTTTTATTTTCTGTTTTCTGTTTTATGTTTCTAGAAAACATTTGGTAATGTTTTGATTTATCTGTTTTTAAAAACAACAAATATAAAACATGTTTGATTGGTTATTTTCTATTTTTTTTTTAAACCTATAAATTTTTAAAAAATATAACATGTTCTAACGATGTAAATAATGACATACTCATATATATATATATAGCAATTATAATAATGTTATAGAGAAAATATCAAACTCGCCGCAGGTGACACATCTTAGGCTTGTCCTCACATCGCTTGAGCATGATTAAACCGTTAACGGAGTGTGAAAATTGTAAATAGGATAATTTTGGTTTGAAATATGTAAATAAAGAGTTTTGAGTGCTATATATGTTAGTTTCCCTAAATATAAGATATATTTATATTTATGTGTATTTATACATTTATGTGTTAATGTATATAATATCAAAAATTATTTCTAATTCATCCCTCAATGAAATCTGGCTTTAATTTAATAGTTAGTACTGTTTTTAAAATTTTAAAAAAAAATTCAAATTTCATTTTTAGGGGAAAGTAAATAGAGAAAATAATTAATTGGCTTCCTTTTAACTTTTTTCCCATTTCTTCTCTGACCAAACTGGCTCGATTTTTCGAGATTTATACGCATTCCACCCAGGATTATTTTTCCCACGCGTAGCCTCTCTTCCCTTTTGTCGTGAACTCTCTCTTCTCTCCTCTCTCATTTTTCTTTTCCTTCCCATTGTCTCCTCTCTTCGACGTTGCAGACGGGCTAACTAGTCGTCTTTGAAACTCCCTCTCTCCCGTCACACCCACGCTCTCCGATACTCTTTCCGTCACAATCCGAAAGCCGAACTTTGCCTCTCTCCTCCTCTCTCCCCTCCGCCGGTCCTGCACTAGCAAGCCTCGGGTGACACTCCATCTACCTTCACCAATCTCCCTCACTTTTCCCTCGCTGCATAGGACACGAAATCCCCCCCTCCTTCCCTTTATTCCACCCCGATGCACACACCAACACCTCTTCCTGTCATCACATGCCGGTGCCTCTCGCATCCACTGTACGCCCTCCCTCTCTTTTGCATGCATACCGCCGGCCACCTCTCGGGATACATCTCCATTGTAATGGAAGCTTGCGTGGTTGTGATTGTAGGCAGTGAGGCCGATGTCGAGGGTGACGTTGAGGTTGACGCTGAGATTGGGGATGTGAAGGTCGACTTTATCGCGAGGTCGACTCTATCTCTAGGGAGACGGGAGGGGCTGTTTTTGTGTTTTAGAATTAGACAAAACATGTTTTTTTTTTTGTTTTTTAGTATTTTTGAAACATAAGCGTTCTTCAAAAAAAAAATAAAAAAATAGAAATAAAACAAAAAGAAATAAACAAAAATTTATCCCAAATAGTGCATTAACTTTGCCGTATGCTTCTCTTTTATATGTAAACATTCCGGGCCATAAAACTTTGCAGGTCTCTCCATCTTATAAAATTTTACTTTTAAGTTTAAGTAATTTTTTATATTACATGATAGGTCTGATGCATTCCTCCACATCAACCATCCAACTTGAATTCTAATATTAACATTCCCATCTATATCATCATTACTTTGAACAGTAGGCCCAAGATGTCTTACTTCTTTTAATGACTTGATCACCCATTGTTACATCCCCGCCACTCGATCTACTATTACTAAAATTACATTCCATGTATAGTAAGTCAAAAAATTTCTCAATATCCTAAAAATTTCTTTTTTTTTAATCGGAATACAATCAGGTCGATTTTTCACACTTTATTTTCTTTAAAGTTTCCTCAACTTCCGTTTTACTAATGCAATGATAAAAGTAAAAAGTTTTATTATTTTGAATGATATTAATGTCATTAAATTCAATCTTTTTCTAAAACCTGTTTTGAAAAATTTATCAAAATATCTCATCCACTTTTGTTGAATATTCTCATCTAAGAATTAATTCTGCTCGTTATTTTATCCCACATTGCATGAATTTCTCCAAAAACATTTTAAATTTTAATTAAAATTTGCTCATAAAAATAATTGTCTTTAAAGTGTCCCCACTAAATTCTATGATATTATTTTGTTGTATTTTTCACCGTAAAATTCAAAACAAATGATCTATATTGAGTTACTTAAATGTCCACTTCAAATGATCTTTTCAATTTTTTACCATGTCGATGATCTCTTTTCATCATGGGAAAATAATATCTATATTTTATTAGATGCATTTTTATATGGGGTAATATGCTCATCTATTTCCTTAAACAAATTTTTAACAATAACAAGATCATATGCTTAAGGAAAATCACTATGATTCTACTTTCTTCATTAGTCACTTCAAAACTGTAGCCATTATAAATATTTCTAAAATCATCAATCACTCTTCTAACATGCCTATTTAAGTCCTCTCAAATAAATTCTTTTTTCTAGAGATATCTTCTGTATTAAATTCGTTTAGGTCATTCCAAATTTTTTTTTTAAACATATATCTTAACTTGAAGTGCATGAGCATTTATAACATATTTATTATTTTTATTTATTTTTTTAATTTAAATACATACCGCTAGATTCCTACTGAATTAACATATCCACCACCTGAATTTTGTTTATTACATTTATAACAACTAAATCGCTCATACCACATAAAAAATTACCACCCTTTTAACTTTTAAAAAGTGAAATCACATTTCATGCATGGGAAGGTATGTCAAAATTGAAGATTTGATGTTTGGATATATGAATCAATAGGATGGAGTGTTACGCATATAAGTCATCCCTTCTTTAATCTTTCTTAATATTCCCAGTCTTGCCTCTTTTCTAATGCTGGGGCACTTCTGTTTTTTCTTTCCTTGCATCTAACCACTCATCTCATTGCTCCATGTCGCAGCTGTTATGCAGACGGAAGGCTTCGAGTATTTGAAAACTAGCTGTCCATCCGTCCTGACACAGCTTTTGGAGTATGTGGCTCGTAGCGGAGAGCACTGCGCCATTACTCACGAATATATATCTCAAACGCTTGATGGCGGCGACAGCAATGGAAGGCGTGTCAAGCAGCGGCTATAGTCTGGCCAACTCTCTGAGGTTGCACAGTCCTTGCGCTGTTCATCTGTAAATTTTGTTATTCTTGTTCTTCTTTTTGTATCTTTTCTTCATTAAAAAAAAAATCTTTCTTTTGTTTTTCTGGTACTAACTCTCCTTCAAAATGTATTAGAGATGACTAAATATTTCCAATTAGTACTGTATTCCTCCCTTAGTTTGCTCTGCAATTGCTTTACCTGGTGTGGCAATGGAAAAAAAGTTAGTTTTCTTTTACTGTTATGATGTTAGAAATTTCAGTTATGTTTCATTTCCCTGTTCAGTTTAAGATTTGACCACTTAATTAATACTTAATAAAACTGAAAAAACTAGATATTTAATCTCTCTCTCTCTCTCTCTCTCTCTCTCTCTCTATATGTAATATTCTCTTCTGCTCTATTGCAGCCATCTTCCTCCAATGGACCATTCCGAGCCTTTTCTTTTGTTGATGGAATTGGCTGCTTTTATTAAGAGTAGATCTGTCTTCAGTTTTTATAATTTCCCCATTTTCTTTATAAACATCTGTTGTTGTGGTCATGGGTTATTGTGTGTTTCGGCTAGTGTATGCTTGGGTAGGCAAGGCTGGGGTTAGTTTAGGGCTCGATTAGGCTACAGAGTGCTCAGATAAGCTAGGTTTAAGATGAGTAGAGCTCAATGAAGGGTAGGTTAATGTTGGTTTAGTGATTAGTTCAGGTTAAGTAAGGGTTGGATTGTGTGTTTGTTTGTGAGTTGTGTTAGGGATTTTGGGTAGGAATTAGGATTTGGTGCATGTTAGGTTTTTTGGGAGAAATTAGGGTTATACTAAGGGTGGAGCTTATGTGTGTCTTTGGGTAGGTTTAAATGGGTTGTGTTTTGATTTAAGGTGAACGAGTGAGGATGTAATTTAGCTTTGGGCTGGCGTCGGGTTGGGTTGAAGTGAGGGTTGTGAGAGTGTGAGTGCGGTTCTCGGGCTAGGTAGAAGTGAGAGGATACCAATCCCTAATGCTGCAATGCACAGGTGGCTCACGTAAGTAAATGTGTCGTATCAGTAATATCAGATTTAGAGTCCGGAATATCGATCCCTAAGGGAATGAGATAATTTTTGTCAGGAAAAGTTCTAGCCTACTGGTTTTAGTTCTAGCTTGAAATTTGGATTTTTGTTATATTCCTACAAAGTAATCCTAATGTATCACAAGCAAATTAAAAGTTTAAGTCCTACAAAAGTTATCCTAAATTATCATAATTATTTTGAAAGTGTCAAATACTCGGTGAATCTTCCTTATAATGAGTTAAGAGGTTTTTATGAAATTGAGAATTGCAAGCAGAAAAGTCTAATGATAAATAGGAGCAGTAATCTTTCGTTATGGTATGACATATATCATATAAGAGACATGCTGGAACAAAGCAGAGCGGAGTGGAAGAATCTGTCCAATCAGGGGAGTTTCGTTATGTGGGTTGGGGATGCGAGGCAACGCCCCACGGTACGGTACATGGGTGATTTTGTAATTACATATTGTACTTCAGGGTTTACTCCAGGGCTATATATATGCTTTTTTGTAATCCTAGGGATTATCTCATATTCTGAATTATGTACTCTTTTCTGGAATAGAAAGAAGTCGTCGCTCTGCTCCCGATGACGTAGACATCTTTGTCGAACATCGTTAAATCTCTGTGTTCTTCTGGATTTGTGTCGATTCCTGTTTTTCTTTACCCTAATTTCTCAACAAGTGGTATCAGAGCGATGTTCTAGGGCAAGAAAAAAAAATTCAGCATAGGGACGAAGAAGTTTGACGGTTAGAGTTTCTACGATTAGGAGCTTTGGCTTCAGGTATTTTAGAGAAGGTTTTCCGTGGTTTGCGGCAGTTCCATCGAGCTTCTGAAAAAGTTCGGTGCCGCAGGAAGGAGGATTCAACGATATTGCGCTCGACCAGGGCTTCAGCACAGGAACAACAGGAGAATCGCGACTTTTGCGAACAGGGAAGCCACGACAGGCGAGTTCGGTGGTTTGAGGCTTTTTCTGTGCAAGTTCCCCACTGGGAAAGGAAGGTTGTTCGACCTAATGTGGGAGCGAAGGCCTCTGGCGAAAGCGAAGGCGATTCTGGAAGCCTGCAAATTTCCTTTGCCGAGCGAATCACCTTTGCTGGAGAGATCTCCTGCGGTCGAATTGCCGAATTTTTGGAGGCGGAAGATATCGAGAGATATTCCTTTACGAGAGGTTTCGAATTCCTGAATTTCTGGAGGTGGAAGATATCGGGAGATATTCCTTTACAGGAGGTTCCGAATTCCTGAATTTCTGGAGGCGGAAGATATCGGGAGCTATTCTTTTGCGGGAGATTTTTTCCTTGTTAGGCGGAAGAGCTTTCTTAAATTA